TTCAATGTGCCCTAAGACCTTCGAAAAAATGATCAAGCTATAAATTGTCAAAGCTATCATTTTCATGCCTCATTCATCCTCTAAGTGTTTGATGATGTAATCACATAAGATTTCTCACGAGATGCAATCACTTTTGCCTTTTGTTTGGATATATAAGTTCACATTTTGAGTAGGGACCTCCATCATACAAGCAAGTTTTTTTTGAAATCCAAGCTTTTAACCTCACCAATAGATTTTATTTGGATTGGAAAGATACAACCATAACAATATAGTATACTATTCAATTATCGGGGTCATATCTATTTCGTTGAATATGAAACATCTGTATGTAGGGTCCCAAATCTGAACTAAAGCTTTTATCAACTGATTTTTCATAGACACCTTAAGTAGTGAAGTAATATGATCGTATTTTTCCTCGAAAGCCATCTTTCTAGAAGTTGTTACACAACATCAGGTCTCGACCAACTCAGAGATGTCATTTTGTTAAAGTCCCAATTTGATTTTTTCAAGCAAAATTTCTTGTTTAGATTCTTTCAAACAATTTTTCATTCTAGTTTGGGCTTCTAATAATAGAGTTACCACCACATTGGTCTCTTCACACATGGTGAGCTTTGAAGCTAAAAACATCATGATGATGTTTTCAAAGCAAGATTGAAAATCTTCTTACTGATATTAGCATATTGATAAACACATCCCATATGCAAGTGTTTATGATGATGCATGGTCATGAAACAAAAGGAAAGCAAAACAAAATAGGGTTAGTAATCATATTAAAATAAATATTCCCTTATGTGTCCTAATTTAGGGTATAATGTACAAAAATGGTATGGCCCTATCTAAAGTTGATTTCTTAAGGTTCGCTATATGCATGGTTTGGTATTTAACATAGGCTAAAAGGTTCCCAAATTGATCCTCACTGTCATCCACTTTGGACTAGTAAGGCCCCCGATCCTCACCCATAACGGGCTGTTGACGGAAAGTGTTCAACTTGAGTGGAAGTATTTCGCTAGCCCAAGCAAATGCATTATAACCTCACGAAAGTGTAGGTACTCTACTTTCTCTTAAAAAAGAATAGATTTGGGAGCCCGGTATAGAGCTCATGCATAAATGCAAATAAACATGTGTGAGGGAATGTAATCAATTATTAATAAAATTAACAATATAATTAGCAATAATATAAAATAAGTACAATAACATATCAAAACTAAATGAAACCAAAATTTTTTTATTTTAAGATGAGATAAGAAATTAAAATTAAATATTGAAAAGACCATAAATTCAAAATTTAGATGACGCATGTATATATTTTTATTTGGATTGACTTTCAAATATCCCAGTGGAGTTGTCAAACTGTCATAATGATTTTTCGTTTGAAAGACTCGATCATTAGACTTGGTAAAAATTTTTAAAATTGCTACTAATCTTTTAAAAGGGTGTGATTGACCACAAAAAAAATCATCTTTTACTAAAAATCTTAAAATTAATTAAGATTTATTAAAAGAAGTTTAGATCTGTAAAATCAGGGTTAGATCTGAAAGTACAATTACGAGTGAAGAAGGTATCAGCACCCTCACATCACTTGTTTGGAGAACGATACTAATTAAACATGTGTAATCTTTTAATTTTGATGATGCAATATTTTATATTTAAATTTAATTTCTTAAAATTTATTAAAAAACTTTTTTTTGATGTGAAATTAGTATTATTATTATTATTTCATATTCTCCAATGCTTTGGCAAAATTTATAGAAAATCATTATTTAGAAAATATTTTAAGAAAATTGACCATTTACTAAATTCTCAAAATCTCATTATAAGATATTTTATTTTATTTGTTTTAAAAAATATTTTAGGAATATCCCGACTCTTTGGTGAGTTTTCAAAATTTATTAAATAAATTTTAAAATTATCTTGACTCTTCGATGAAATCTTAAAAATTTTGAACAAGTTCTAGGATTATCTCAACTTTTGACAAGATCCTAAATAAAAATAAATTTTTTTAGTTAAAAGAATTAATTGATTAATTAATCTTTATTATTATTATTTTAAAATTTTTATTATTTATTCTTTAATTATTTTTATTATAAAAAAATTTAAATTATCCTGACTCACCAGTGAAATTTAAATATTAATCTCTTGCTTATATTGAAGAAAATCGAACTCTTTCAATTTTTTTATATTTTTTTAATTTATTAAAGATATCAATTATTATTATTTTTATTTTTTTATCATTGTTTTACATTGTTTAAATCAATTTTTATTCTAGCAAAAATTATTTTGGATTATCCCAACTCTATGGTGAAATCCGAAAAATTATTTTTACTTGCAATAATTAAAGAAAACTAAATTCTTTTAGCTTTCTCTAAAAATTACATTTACAAAAAAATTCATTTAAACAATTTTATTTTTTTATTTTATTTATCATTTTTTATAATTTTTTATTTTTTTAGAAAAAATTATTTTTTAAATTATCCTAACACTTCGGTGAAATTTAAATAATATTTTTGCTTGTAATAAAATTTTATTTTCCTTAAATAGTTATTATTTTTTTTGCATATTATATTTTTAAGTCTTTATGTTATTTTAATTTTAATTTTATTCTATTTATTTATTTTTAAAAGAATTATTAATATAAAATAACAACAACAACAACAACAAATAATAATAATAATAATAATAATAATAATAATAATATGATGAAAAAAATAAACATAAAAATCAACACAAAATAAATAAAAAAAATCAAGATAGAAAATAAAAAGAAAAAAAAACTTGCGAAACAGGTCGAGTTAGCACGCAGGTCAGCGCACAGATCTTGTGCGGGTTGGGTGCGGGTCTGACACTTAAAACGGCGTTGTTTTAGAGTGCCTATAAAAGACTTGTTTCAGCTTTTGTTTTTTCATTTTTTCTTTCCCCTCTTTTTCTACCCCAAAGCTTCTCTCTCTAAACCCAGACCCTTTTCACCGACAGCCACAATTACCCCAGTTTTCGGTCGATCATCGTCGTGCACTGATGGCCAAAAACTTCAACCAGCGCTGAAAAATTTAAAAAATTCTCAGATTCCGATGATGAACCCAAATTTCGATCGCCAAAAAATTGAAACTTTTTCAGAATCCAGTGACCCAAAAAAAAATCCAAAAATTCTCAAATTGACCATTTTTGTTTTCTAAACGCTCTTTCAAGCCCATATGTTTTTAAAAAATCTTAAACTTTCTAGATCAAGAATTTCATTCTCGATGATTTTTTTTTGAATTTTTTTTGTGTTTGCTGCTGGTTCCTCTATCAAATAGGATTGTAAGTGTTTTTGTTTTCCTCTAGGCTTAACCCCTGTATTTCTTCCCTCATTGGTTTGCAAAAGTTGGCTCCATTTATAGAGCCTCTAGGATTCAAATCTCAGATCTCTTAAGATATTTTTGTGAAAATTTTAGATTTTGCCCGGTTACTTTTGGTAATCGGATTTTATGCTACCAAGTTAGGCAATGTCAAAAAGAAAAACAAATCACTCTGGCAGCTTAATTTCAACTACCAGACTTGAAACTATTTTTTTTTACTTTTTCTTCTTTTTTTTTTTAGATTAATAATAATAATAATAATAATAATAATAATAATAGAAAAAAATTGGTGCTTACAGCCTGTATCCATTTCTGTATAGCATAATGCAAACAAAGATTCAAATTTGATTTTTAATGTTCCCTTTACTAGAATATAAAAATATATTAGTTTCTTTATCCATCAATATGTGATAATATATATAATGTGATAGGTTGTTTTGTTTGTTTTTCATTGTTAAACTTTTTGGTTAGATATATTTCTTTATGTTGATTGCTGAGTTACAAATAAGGTTACTTATTCTTTTGTGATCCAAAAATGATGACAAACAAATAAGTTTTCAATGAATAAATTTAATATCTTATCATCATTGATTTCATCTAATGTAAATATTTAAAATATAAGTAGCTATACATTTTTTTTCTTATATATTGTTTAATATTTAAATTATTAATACATGATTTTATTTAACTTTTGTAACTAAAATATAAATATATAACTTTATTTTACTTGGGACGAAGTGCGGGGTTGAAATCTAGTATCCATAAAAGGAAAACTCTTTTTTTTTTCATGACTAAACATGTTTCCTTTATAATATATATATATATATATATATATTATAATAATAATAATAATAATAATCATAATAAACCTAAAAAATGAATTATAAAATTCCCATTAAAGTAAAAATGATATTTAAAATAAAATCAAAAATATATCACACATAATTATTATAACATAATTAATTAATTCCAATTCAAAATTACATGTCATTCATAAAAATAATATGGAGTCCACGTTCAAATTTGAGACATTAGAGAAATTGTCCACGTTAAAAGTTAAAATTTTACCATTTTGTATAACTAAAGAAAATGTTCACCAGAAATTTACAGTTAATAATGCATTGTCTCGATTTTAGTAGAAATAATTGTATTATAAAAAAACTTAAATCCAATTTTAGTACAAACAAATAAGTTAATTTCATTTAAGGATTTCTCTTCACGAGAATAATTTTTTACACATGCCAATATTTTCAAAATTTCCTAAATTAAAAAAAAAAAACAGGAAAAAAGAGCATGCAAAAATTATTTATAAAAATTATTTATAAAAGTAAAATTAAGAATGTAAGCCCAATTTGCTCTAATAGGTTTTAATTGTTTTTTTAAAAATTAAATATGGAGTCAAGTAATTATAGAATAAAATTGAGATTAAATTTTAGATAAATTCGTCCTAATTCGATTTGATATATATAAAATATTAATTTTTTTGATTATTTACTTAATTTTATATTTATATATGTATTTATATATTTATTTAATTTTATATTTATGTTTAAAAATAATATTTTATTAATTTTTAATAAATTTAATTATATATAATTTTATATAATTTCAGATCAAATTAAATTCATGTATTATAAAAAATATTTATATCAAATACAAATATTATAAATATAAAATCAAATCGAGTAGAATCCCTCCCCACCTTGCCTCTTGCCGGCCCTAAGTAAATCCTCCATATAAAATTGCAAAACTCGAGGAGTTACTCGTTCCGTTATGCGTCCAAGGGCAAAAAAGCAATGTGGCGTTCCATACGCCGACCCCCTTCTTTCTCTCTTCGTACAACCTGCTCCCAATCGCTGCCTAACTCTACCTTCCTCTCTTTCTCTTCTCCTCTTCCGAAACCCCAATCCTCCTCCTTCTTCACACCCGCTAAAACTCTACCTTTCATCGCCACATCATGGCCCTCCACCGTCATCTTATGGACCTTCAACGGCGGCCGCAATACCAGCCGGAATATCGCCGCCAGGTGCATTTCCTCGTTTCCGACTCCGCAACCAAATATGGCGGTTGATTGGAACGACGCAGTTTCCTGCTCGGAAGTCGGCGATGGCGGCGAAGACAACAACGTCGATGATAGAACGTTGGAGGAAGACACTAAACGTTCTATTCCAGTTCGAGCTTATTTTTTCTCTACTAGGTTTTTATTAATTCATTTTTCAATTTTCAATTTTCAATTTTCAATTAATCATTGGATTTTAATGGAAAGTAATTAGAATCAACATGTTCCCAAAAAGCTTTTTTTTTTTTTTGTGTTTATTGGGGTAAATATTCGAACTTTTGAATTCTGATGCTTAAACCCTAAACCCTGATTTCATTTACTTATTTATATACTTTAATTAATTAATATTTTTTTTTAATCTTTTTGGCTCTAGTGTGGATTTGAGAGGATTGGTGGAGCAGAACAAGCAGAATTTTATACCGCCGTCATCGCGAATGACTAATTATGTAGTTCTTAAGTTTGGCAATCTTGCTAGTTCCCCTGTAAGTTAATTTTAACCTTTTTTTAAATTTAATTTTATTTATTTTTTGATGTTAAGAGCTAAGATCAATTATTCTAATCAATTATAATTATGTTGCATGATCAATGAAGATAATTTTTATAAATGCTTTCTTACTCACTGATAGCATTTTGTTTCTTACGTAATATCTATTTATTTATTTCATCCAACATAACTCTTCTAATTTGATTAATAAAATGAACATAGGAAGAAAAAAGCTATATTATTTTGGAAAAGATAGGGAGGTTGAATTGGTGGTAACTGCCAATGAACCAACAATAAACCGTGGAAGTGAGATGATGCTTCTCAAGTTTCAACACTTAAACTTGTAATTTGGGTGGTTTGATGGTTTCTTGAAAACATGTAGGGTCAAACATGGTTGCGCTATGTCTTGTTGTGACTTTCTTTTTTATTTAAATGTGCTTAACTGTATATGTATTTAGGCGTTTAAGATGGGTTATGATGCTGTTGTTTTCACCATGCAGGAAGTTGGTGAAAATTTTCCCTTTTTCTTATAGAGCTGACACATTTGGGGATTTAGTGAGTAAAATTGAAATGTTTTCAGTTATTGGCAGTCTGAACCAAAAGCTTGTTAATATAATTCCTCTTACCTATGAAATATTTGAAAATTTTGAAGAATAAGAAGCTTCCTTGTCTCTCCCAGTGTGCAAAATTTATTAATGCATGCATTAGTTTAAGTAATAAAAAAAGGGGGTGTGCTTGCTGGAATCCAGATTTAATTTTAACATTTGTCATAGTGTTATTTATACAGATGCTGCATGTCTGCTCTCTCTCTCTCTCTCTCTCTCTCTCTCTCTCTCTCTCTTTGTGGAACCAGGCTAAATGGTATAGATCTCTAAGCCTCCTGTTGTTTAATGTAGAGCTTAAATTACTAAATGTCAACTGGAGGAATGGACACAACAATATATGGTTTGCATCCTATAAACAGCTACCTGGAAAATTGGTTCTGGATTAATTAGGGACAGATTTAAATTGAGCTGGAAAATTTTCTGTATAGATATGACATGTGACCATCATTGGTACAAAGCATTGCCATGCTCTTTGCTATGTTTTCTAAAAAGCAATGGTTATGTCATTCAAATAATGCATCTTAGTGTTCTCTAATCTCTTTTCTTATGTTTTTCTGAATTGTTATATATGAGTAATCCAAGTAAAATATGTTGTTGATGGATAAGTTCCTTGTTTCAGGGTCCTGGTGCTTTCATAAGTGGAAGTGACTGCTGTTTCATGGTGGTATACCAGTATGGGTCCATCGTGTTGTTTAATGTTTGTGAACATGAAGTGGATGAGTATCTGAAAATTGTTGAAAAACATGCATCAGGATTGCTTCCTGAAATGAGAAAGGATGGTGAGTTGATTTATTCTTATTTAATTGTAAATCGCTATTAAACACTCCTTTTCTAGAGTTGCCGTGAATAGAGATCGACCATTTAGAAATCGTAATGCTGGGACTTGGGAACTGACATGATTTTACTAGTACAAGAATAATTAATGTGGTCATGCACTTAAGTTCCATAATAGACCATATTCTTTCTTTTTCTTTAGCATAATCATACAAATTCCTTTCACCATCTATCTCCATCAAGATCATCCGTGAATCCTGTCAAATAAAGAGTATCTAAAAATGCTCAAAATAAAAACTTTTTTTAAGACCTTGAATATGGACCAATATGTCATCTTTATCCTTTCTTTCTCTTGTCTTCCAAAAAGGTTCTCTTTTATCTCTTTCTTCTTATTCTTTCTTTTTGCTAGCCCTTTTCTCAACTGGTTATGTTGTTGTGAATGAGAAAGGAAGAGGGTTCTCCCTGTGAAGGATTGCCTTAAAGCCATGGAAAATATAATGGCTTAATTGTCTCTGGTATATTGTCCTCGTATTTTTTTCTAACTTTTTTTCTATTCACTGAATTTCTTGCCAATTGCTTTCTCATCTGCTTTTGCATGCATCACACTTGCATTCACTAAGAACATTGTGGTTTCACTAAGTGTGTGTTTGTACATATATATATACATATATATATATATATACATACGTATATATATACATACATATATATGTATATATATATATGTATATATGCATATATATATATGTATATATATATAGATATAAACACACACTTAGTACATATACAGACATGTGAAATAGGTTTTGGTGGGAGGTGAGGGAATTGAGATTGTTTAGGTATCAACATGGTTTTTTACTGTCATTTTCAGTGGGTTTCTTCTCGGTAAAAATTTTCATTCATTTGATGATATATTTTTATAGTTCAGTTTTCTGGTTAGACCTTTTTTTCTGAACATATTTGGGATAATCATTCTTCTGCACTATGCCCTGTAATTAGAGATTAGATCTGTTGCTTTACTGAGGAACAGAGAAACACAGAAGGTACTGCATTAAGGAGTTTTTGTTTTATTTGTCTTTGATGTGTTATGAACTTGCAGAGTATGAGGTAAGAGAGATGCCAACTCTAAACACATGGATGCAAGGTGGATTGGATTATATTATGTTGCAATTTTTAAATATTGATGGAATCCGTACCATTGGAAGTGTTCTTGGTCAAAGTATTGCTCTTGACTACTATGTGCGCCAGGTTTGTAGTATTTGATCTCCAGTGTTGACTGTCTGAATATTTAACTTGATAATGATGCTTAAAACTTTTTTCTTGATCATAGGTTGATGGGATGGTTGCAGAATTTACTGACATAAATCGTGGGATGGAAAAAACAGGAACATTTACCATGGACAGCAAAAAGCTTTTTCAGATAGTAGGAAAGGCAAATTCTAATCTTGCTGATGTGATTCTTAAGCTTGGACTATTTGAGAGGTAACATTTTACTGTCCATTATGATGGTAATTGGCCCATAACATTTATCATGCCCATGGAGCTTTCAGTATGGCTACTGTTTCCAAATTAATTTGTAATAATCCGTTAATTTCTCTTCTTATCTGTTTTTGGATTAGTCTCATGGTGGGATAAAAATATACCAATAGGAATGTCTCTTTTGGAGTGTATGCTATTTAGCTTATGCATTTTTCTTGATTTTAACAGATCAGATATTGCCTGGAAAGATGCCAAATACGCTCAAATATGGGAATTTCTACGAGATGAATTTGAATTAACTCAAAGATTTGCGAGTCTTGATTTTAAGTTAAAGTTTGTTGAGGTATGCTATTTGCTTTCTTAGAAACATGCCTTTATAAAAGGAGGCAATATGTGACATATATGTTCAAGTGAACTACTCAGGACATACATATATGCATGAAAACAAAGTCATTTCTGATGTGGGACTTTTTCTTTTATGGTAAAACTATAGGAGATATTGTACGTTATCTATCTGCTAACATATGGCATCCCTTTCTGCTTTTGCAGCACAACATTCGGTTTCTCCAAGAAATTCTTCAAAATAGGAAATCGGATTTTCTGGAGTGGCTTGTCATTGTGTTGATAAGTGCTGAAATTGTTATATCTCTTTATGACCTTATTAAGAGGTCGTTATGATGATCCCTGTATAGAGGTTAGCAAATTTTCACATGGAACTATTAGTCAAAACGGTTTCTGATCAAAGGTAGCTGTTGCTGTGCATTTACTTTCTAGTTAGCTTTTGCTGTATCGAATAGATTAGCTACAGGTTTTTTTAGTTTGTTGTAAATCCCCTTCTCTAGTTCATTTTAGACCATGACTTTCTTTATAACAAAAAAAAAAAAAAAACTTAAGGATGGCAACGGCTATCATTTTCATTTCAATCATTATCCGACTAATGAAGATGGCAAGAACTGTTAAATTACTTAAATATAGTGACATCTCATTCTTTGGCAAAATGTGTGGATGTAATATGATATATATGTAAAAATTTAAACTTAAAATTTGTGAAACATTTTTTGTAAGACAATCATAAGATTTTTGAGTCAAAACGCGTAATATTTTATAAATTGAGTGTGGATATTTTTTGCTTATTTTATGTCATGTTGGATATTTCTCTTTAATACTTTAAAAATTAGAAGTATAAACTCTTATGTTTTAAATACAAAATTTTATTTCAGCAGTTAGAATTGAGATTTTAATTCGGATGAATCTTAAATTTGAACTAAAGAGTGTTCGTTTGAATCTTAGAATATAAGAGTGTCTCTTGAGGCACTTTTGTCATTTATTTTGCATATGAAAACTTGATGTAAGATTTAATGATAGTAGCATACCAACTTTCATTATTTTTTATTTGAATTGAGTTCTTCCAGCAAAAAAGACTCAAATGACGATTACAAATTATAATATCAAACTTACATAAATATATATATATATATATACACACACCCTTAGACAAAATCAAATTGAATCATAATTTTTCCATAGTCTTTTTGTCTCTATTTAGATTTAAAGTATAATAGATGAATAGTTATTTAATTAAAAAAATCATTTATTTGCTATCAGAACAGGCATAATAGATATTTGAACCGTGAAGCCTTAGAAACTGAAGCTCATGACAGTGAGTCGAGTGGTTTCAATGTAAGATCCTGGACGGTGGAAGAAGTAGAAGACCTCAAAACCCTACCCAATATCATGCCATTAATTAAAGGTCGAGTAGCATTCTTAACTACAACCATAGATGTGCTTAACAGCAAGGTGATCATCCAAGTCCTAACCATGGATGGCTATCTCGGGCCACACATAAAATTCAAACCGGTTCCTATGTTGTGTTTAGCCTATTAGCAACGGCCCTATCTATTTTCATCTTGATCGCTTCCTCCACCCAACATGGCAAAAATTCATCCGTTGTTGGACTTTGACACCCCTTCGAAGAATCGGGTTTGGCCATGTCATCAATCTCCTCACCATGGTGAGGTCCGCCGTAATTGAACTACGTCTCCGTGTGGTACGGACCAATCAGCTCACCAATAATCAACCTGGCTCCACGGCACCCATTTTCGACCTATGGCTTGTTGTGCCACTAACAGTTCTAGGTATTGGCAAAGCATTTTACTTCCCTGGACAAATTGCATTGTATTACCAAGAATTTCCAAATTCACTAAAAAATACAAATCCATAGGAATGATATCGTGTTCACAGATACCATGGTATTTTTTAAATCAAATACCAAGGACTATTGTACTCCAATATTATTAATCATAATAACAAAGTAGGTTTGCTTAACATGAAACGATTCACAACAAAAAGAGTGCTACAATGGACTCTTTGTTCATAGAATATTTATTTAAATTCCTAGTTTTCTGGTGATAAAAGAAACTAGGTTAATTTTCATAGAACATGGTCGGATTCGAGTATGGTGATAAAAGAAACTTGGTGCTCCTACGCTTGAACTTTCGAGCCCAAACGTGCTTTCCATTGATTGAGTACTTGGCTTTTGGCAAGCCCTTCAGAATTATGTCTAGGTCTGAAGCAGAAACCAGAACCAGCCTTGCATATAGCGGCTGCTGCCCTGCTGGGACTTGTTCCATTTCAACTCTTTGTACGAAATTGTTCCCAAATTTCCTGTTGCCAAAGATCACAAACAGAAACAAAACATATAATTCTAATTCATATATATATATAAAAAAAAAAAAAAAGAGTTTATATCAGTCAAGTTATGAATAATAATGTTGCCGCGCCACAATGGACAATATTTTGCAACAGGAGGAATTCAATAATCCTTTTATCGACTATTATAACTTAATTATATTTCAAAATTAAAAATTCAGTAGACAAAAGTATAAAGACCTGATAAAGAAGTCTGTCACTTCATCCTTCGAAATGGGGTGCCCTTTAGAGAATGTTAAGAAAATAGTTCTATCATCTGCTGCCACTTCGAATTCCTCATCATCATCATCATCATCATCATCATCATTATTATTATTATCTGCTGCCACTTCGAATTCCGCAATATTATTATTATTATTATTATTATTATTATTATTATTCTCTTCCAAGCTGTTAATGCAAATATTGTGTATGCGGTTCAACAGTTCCTCCATTTCATTGTTCAGAGTCTTTCTTTGAGCCCTAAGGTTAAGGTCATTAGGATCAAATCCATGGAAATAACCCGATTGGCCCCTACTGGTATGAGGCCTAAATATTTGCTGATTTCCCAATATGTTCTGATCACCAAAGTTTCCAACCCCAGAATTATTATAGTTGTGAACAGGCATTGTTGGCCTAATCAATGGTCCAGAAAACATTAGTGGCTTCAAACTTTGGTCGATTGATCTCTCTTGATTGGCAGTCATTGGATTGATCAATCCCAATGCCTGTTGCAATATATCATCAAAGGCTCTAACACAAACATCCTCAACAAGTTGAACCATCCCACGAATAATCCCGAGACGATGATCATGAAAGAGACGGAGAGAAACCTCGTTTTTTGTTAACTTTCGAATCAAAGGAATGATAGAGGTAGCGCCTTTTAACTGACTGAAAGGGAACTTACTACTCTTTATACAATTTAAGCATTGGACAACCTCATCAGCCAATGAATTGATAAGGGTATCAGGCCAGAATTGGATGTTGTGAATCAAGTTCCCAGCATAGCTGCTATAGTGTTCGATCCAAAGGAGTAGAGCCATGACGTGCATGGACTCGCCTGGATCACGTCTAAGGTTCAAAACAAGCCTGGCGAAGATGACTCTGTCGATGGTGTGGAACAGCTTGATTTCTTCTCTGGAAATTTTTGGGTTCTCCCAAGAAGAAGATGACGGTGAAGATGAAGATGAAGATGAAGCCATTGTTGGGTTTCTGAAGGAAATGTAGAAATTGGGTTGTTATTAAAAATTGGTTTTTGGGATTTATAGAAGGGAAAGGGTGCCATTGAAGAAGGTTTGATAATATGACGAGTTGTGAATTTTCAAGAGACGCCATTTTTTATTTTTGGCAGGAATGGATTTGAAAGGGTTTCTTTGTTAAGAATCTTGAAGGCAACGGTCAAAATTTTGATAGGTTTCGTTTGGTTTAAGGGAAAAATGAAAATTCATCAAAATTTTTTGGCAGCAAAACATAATTCCAAACTCAATTTGTTATGAAAAAGTAATAATTTAAAACAGATAAGTATATATAAATTTTGGACATTACATAGAGTTGATTTTATGGCAGCAAAACATTGTTCCAATGCTTTGATAATCCATGCAAATTCATAATTAAATTGGATGCCTTTTATGATTTTTTAAAGAATAACTACATACACACAAAGTACATATAAAAATTATATATAAAAGAAATATTATTTGTAAACTCAAATTTTTAAATAGAATTAAAGATTAATGAGAAAGTATTAACTTAATTGCACGTAACTACAATTAAATGATCAAAAGTCATAAATATAAATTTGATTATGGAATTACAATGTTAAAGATTAAATGATTGTTTATTTATGAATTATTTAAATGCATATTTTTAATTATTTGTGCGTCGAATTTTAATTAGAGTTAAAGCATTTGATTAACATTTTTAGTTGATTTTATTTATTTTTTGAATTTCTAAATTTAAATTTGGTAATATTTGATTTCATATTTATTTTTTTTAATCTTTTGATCAAGATCTAAGTAATTTTATTTCATATTTGATTATAAAGAGAATGTTTTATGTTTAGAAAAGAGGAAAAAAATAATATGGTGATGATGTGGCCATTTTTTATTGGATGGAAGGTACCACCTCAGCTAGTAAAAAGGAATAAATTACAAAGCCGCAGCCCAACGCCACCAAAACAAAAGGCAAATGCACAGCACGATATTTCTCTTCAGCAACGCCTCCGAGGCTCCTTCCTTAAATCTCTCACAGATACTCAATCCAAAACCTTCCCATTTCTTCAATGAAAGTTTATTTTGTTCTTTCAAAGTAACAAATTTTGATTTTTTAATCAAAATCTTATTGAAATTTGGCAAAACCTTTGTTTAATCATATAAAATTCTATGCTTTATTTTCTGTTTTATATTTTTTTTCACTCTCAGGGGCTTACACAACAATTAGAACACACGAAAATGGATCAACCCTTTTGTTTTGTGAAAAGTATTTAAAAAGACTGGCGAATACTACTAAATTCAAAGCAAGAACTCAATAAAAAGCCAACCAAGAAAAACCCATTGTCTTTTCTCCTTTATCAATCACTTGTATGTTGACATGGGAGTCATTGGTTAAAATTTAATGAACCAGTTGTTACCCAATGGATGTTACACTGTCACAAGAAAAATATAATTCAAGGTTCGAATTTAGGTTTCTTCCTCAAAACTTCTTTCGCATGTATAAAAAGTGTAGACCGTATGAAAAATGTTGCTAATACTGTTTCATTTAAGGCTAAATTTTGATAAAGCAATAAAAGAAAAAAAAAAAAAAAAGCAAAAGGAGTGATTGATAGGTCACTCAGCACTGATCGAAGCGCACTTGAAACAGCCCAAAAACGTGAGTGTGTTGGAGTTGGTACAGAATATTGATGGTCAGATGCTATAAGGCATCTTCATTAAAAAAAAAAAAAAGCAACGGTTTTGATAAAACCAAAACCAAAACCAAAAACAATCTTCATTTGGTTTTCTCTCGTTCCTTTCCTCTCCATCGTCAGATCATCTTTCATTCATTCCCCCAAATAAAAACAAGTACTACTAACCATCTCCACCATTCCCTTCCTCTCGCGCCAAATACAAAAAAAAAAAAAAACCATTTTCTTCTTCCTTTCTTTTATCCCCCTCAGGTTCCCTCCCTCTCTCTTTCTTTAATACCCTTTGTTTATATAAATGTTTGTATGCATCTAGGTATGTCCTTTAAAAAAAAAAAAAGAAAAATGATGGATGGTTACGTTCTTTTTTATGTACGCATGTCTGTATGTAATTATCCGATTATGTTTATTTTTACATATGTCCATCTGGGTTTCTCTCCCTGATAAATGATTTATTTATTTATTTATTTTTTTGAATTTGAGGTTTTGTATGTATGGCATGACTTGATTGTATGCGTGGATGGATTTAGGCATTTGGGTATGTTTATTTTTGCATTTATGAATCTGGTATCTCTTTGTTTGTTAAAATATTGATAAATGATTGATAGGTACTAATGGGTTTTGTATTTGTTTTTCTTTTGGTTTTTTTTTTTTTATCAGTGATCTAGGTTTTTCGGGGACATGGCGGATGGTATGGCGGCGGCGCCAACGAGCCCAGCTGGAGGGAGTCATGAGAGTGGTGGAGAGCAAAGCAGTTCTCACTCAAATGTGAGGGAACAAGACCGTTACCTTCCAATTGCTAATATAAGTAGAATCATGAAGAAAGCATTGCCTCCTAATGGGAAAATTGCTAAGGACGCTAAAGATACTGTTCAGGAATGTGTTTCTGAGTTCATCAGCTTCATTACTAGCGAGTATGTAAAGTCTTAATCTTCGTTTTATTAATCTTTTGAAAATTTGTGTTATGTTCTTCCTTTTTTTATTTTGTTAATTGTGAATTTGGTGATCTGAAATTGTGGGAATGTGATTTCGAGACTTGGGAGTTTAGTTTTGAATGTGGTATTCTTGTTGGTGTTTGAAAAGTTCTAAGCTTTAGCTGTTTTTTTCCGGGTGGTGAAGGTTTAGTTTTTGAGGAATGCAAAATATTCAGTATGTATAAGAAAGTGGGTATTTGTGTTTTGGATTGCAACATTTTGGTGTTTTTTTTAAGAAAACTGCTAAAGTTGGGAGTGGCTTGACTGGAGTTTATTTTACTTTTGATTGGTAAAGGTTTAGTTTCTGAGGGATGTTATTTTAGCGTTTATAGAAAGTAGGGTCCTAGTGTTTTAGATTTTAACGTTATGGTGTTTTTATGAGCCTATTTTGTATATGAGCTAGAGATTTGTTTGCCAAATGGTGCTTCATATTGTTGCTTATTTCTTTTTTACCTTTTTCTTGAATTAATGTCCTTGGGAAACTTAGTTATGTTTTGTATGAGTTGTAAATTGTAAATTTGGTGTTTTCTGACATTGGAGATATGATTTGAGACTTTGGCTTTTGTTTCTGACTTGCTGATTTCCTGGTGTTTGGAAATGTTGGAAGCTTGACTGGTGTTTTTTACTTTTGGATGATGAAGGTTATTTGAGGGGTTTAATTTTAGCTTATATTAAAAATTAGGTTCCTTCAGTTTTTCATTCTGACTTTCGATGATTTTTGGCCGGGGTAAAGTTTGAGTTTTGAGGGATGTGATTTTCCCTTTTAGTTTACGTGAGAAGCAGGGTGTTTAATGAGCCCTTTTCCTTTTTCTATTGTGAACTAGAAATTTGTTGTAACTGGTGTGAAATATTTCATTTCAAAGCTAATGATTTGGGTGTTAATTGAAAGTGAGGTTTCTTTATTATTAATTATGATGGGTTTTTTGTTAGAATTCAGGTTTAGTTTTGTAAAAAAGATTTGGGCTGTTTGTTTTGTAGGGCTAGCGATAAATGTCAGAAAGAGAAGAGGAAGACGATTAATGGAGATGATTTGTTGTGGTCGATGGCAACATTAGGGTTTGAAGACTATATTGAGCCACTTAAAATATACCTGGCCAGGTACAGGGAGGTATGTGGGGCTTTAACTTTTGACCTAGTTGTTTATTTACTTCAATTTCTGCTTCATCCAATTTCTGGATTTATCTTAACCCAGAACCTGTTTGGCTGTTGGAAGATTGAAATGGAGGAGTTTAGAAAATTGATTTTTTTTGTTCTATTCTGCTCTTTTTTGTTTGTTATCATTGTCATGCTAATCATACAAGTAAGTAATCTATATAAGGCTCAGTTGATATGAGTTAGAAGTCTAAAAACTTGATGTTTAGAGTTTCCTGAAATTTTCATATTAATGTCTGCCTGGTCTCTATAAATTTGATCTGACTATTTTTTTTCTTTCTTTTTTGCCTTTTTCTTGGGACTGATGCTATTGGAATGACCATGATGCACAGTTGGAGGTAATTATACTCTTGTTCAGCTCTATATGTTTTCTTGTAGTATGTTTAGATACTGTCTTCTCTTTGAGGCCAGGAGTAACATTAGCTGCAAACTTTCTAACTGACAGGGTGACACCAAGGGATCTGCCAGGGGCAGTGATGGGTCTCTTAAAAGAGATGCAGTTGGAGCTCTGGCTGCCCAAAATCCACAGGTGAAACAATGATATTTATTTTCGATTCTGTTCTGGGCTAAAATGTTTTATATACCAGGCATTTTTTTTCATTCTGTAAAGTCCTCACCTGACGATACCATATTCTTGTGCATTGGTGGTGAATAAATCCTGCAGTTTGCAATCCAGGGGTCATTGAACTATATTAATTCCCAAGTAACTCTCTCTCTCTTATTTGGCTTTTTTATACAAGATTGTACACTGGTTGTCTTTCCTTTTGAAAGAAAGGAATATGTTGTTGATTAATGTTTCACTGTTCGTTAGATTTTTGTTAAACATTTTCACTTGTCAGGCTTGATTAACACTAGATTGTACTAGTAGAGTTGATTATTTTCTCAGTCTCAGTGTGTCAAGTTCTTCGTTTCATTTTGGTTACATTTGATCCATAAATTTCCTTTTCTGATGATTTCACTATTGTGAGGGATTTTGTAAGTATAATTTGCATAAATCTTGATAATTAAGGGGTTGAATTAGGTAAAGCATTGCACATCTAATATGCATTCAAGGAAACTTTCCCCACCAGCAAGGATAGGATTCTATTAAAGGATGAATGATAGGATTACAATACTATAATTTTCATTAAAATTGATTGATTGGATAGCTATTCTATGCATGATTTTGCACCGAACATTACTGAAAGCTTTACTTTCATTTAATCATATCTTGTACATTACATTTAATATTTAATACAGTGACCCTTTGGTTCTATGGAGTTCCATCATGAATCACTCAAGAATTAAGGTTTGTGAAAATCTATTATTGTTAGGTTAGGAGTTCTTTGCAAAGCTATCAACCCTCCTCTCTTTTGTGCCCTTTACTTTTTCTCCTTCCCCAACTGCAATTTGGGACAAGAAAGTTCATCTAGAATCATTTTAGAAATGTTCCAGCAGAACCAGCACATATATGCATGGAAATAACTACATTGATTTTAGGTTATAAAGGGATAGGGACAGCCAATACTCCTTTTTATCTGCTTTCTAGCCAATGTGAGGCTATTACTTCCAACTGCTCTTTATGACATTGTAGCATCCTGTCCCTTCAAATTGAGAGCTAATACAGTGATGGTCTGATGGATAATGAGTAATCAAATTTGACTAATCCCATATCGAAAAGGCTTGAGAACAATGTGCTCATAGCAAATATTCTTACGGCTTGTTACCCATGTCTCTTAAATATTTTGGAGATATTACCTACATTTATATTTTCATGCCTGGTTATATGTTTAGGGATTAGGTATTTAGCATGCTAGCAATAAGCCACCAATCCTAGACAAATGATGGTTGCAACAATTAATAACATTATAGGATGATAGAAGAGGTTATCAATATACGTGTCAGATGTTGATTAACGTACTATGTCTGGTTGCCTTGTGCCCATCGATTAGATGCCATATTGTTAATTTTAATAGCTTTGAAGACAGATGCTTACTTCTCAATGGCAGGATATCATGCAGATTTATGTGTTTATCCTTATTTATGTGATAGGGAAAATATATGCTGCATGTTGCTTGAGTTGGATTAAGGAAGTTTCAAAATTAAAAAACGATGGTAGTTAAGAGCTCAAACTTATGCCAAGCTCGATATTTTGTCTAGTTAGTAACAGAAGAAACCTGTATGTTTTTAGTATTTGCAGAAAGCTTCTTCATTGTAGTGGCAATGAAATAGTTCAGAGCGCAACGAATGATTCGTGTGTTGAGGTGAAAAACTTGGGACTTCTAGTAAAAATTACTGCAAATTGTAGTTTAAAAGAAGGGTCCTTTTCCTCTCTCTCTCTCTCTCTCTCTCTCTCTCTCTCTCTCTCTCTAGCTAAGCCCATCTGTTCTAATTTTGCTAATTTCTGTCTCTAAATGTTTGTAAAAAGAAATACGTGCATTTTTTATTTTGTTTTTGAGTGAAAGGATTGATCTGTTGTGAAATTCTAACTTGTATTTCAACTATTTGGTTTCCTTAAATCTAACAGGCACAAGGACAGCATATGATCGTTCCCTCCATGCAAGGTAATGAGTAGCCGATCCTAGCTTCCTCTTCCAATTTTATGAGTATTAGGGCTGGTTAAATTGTTTAGTTCAACACTAAAGGATCTTTAATGTGGATTAATCTTTATTTATGCAAAGCTACATAAGTTGGGGATTTTTTTTTTTTCGGGTTAATTTGGAGTTGTAAAAATCTTTTTCTAGTTCTGTAAATTTGGCTATCTATCTGATAGATAAAATATTGCTTTGTGCATTTGAGAAAAGATCCATTTGAATTCTATTTACTTCATTTGTCCATATTTCACCATGAATGATTTGAAGGTCTTATAACTTCTTTTTCTCCCTTCTTGCTACGTGATGAAGAGTTTAGCACTTGAGTTCTTTTTTTTTTTTTTAATGAAGTTTGCCCTGTTAAAGTCATTTACAGACTTGGACATTTATGGTTGAAAAATCATGCAAAAAAAAAATCCTAAATTCGGTCAAAATTGACCATGCATCAAATCAAGTTGGTTGTTTTTGGCATTTTCTTTTGAGAGGAAAGTTCATTCATTTTTTTCCATTACAAATTCACAATCTTGTAATTTAATCCATCCATTAACATAAAATTTATATGAATTTGTCACATTCATATACAGGGAAATTCTTGTGGGGATTGCTAAGCTTGTTTCTGGGGTTAATGAATCTCCATCCCTTAAAACATTAACATTTTATCAATAAATTATTTATTACATATATTACAAATGTACTATAAACATAATCATGCATATTTTAAAATTTTTATTACAAAAGGAATTTAAGATTTTTAATCTAATCTTATCATTCCATTTTTATCACTTAAGTTTAAAATGTGATTAGTGATGTCATCAGAGCAAATTTGGAACGGGTAGTGTATTTTGTATTCTTATCTTTGATTTTTTAAATTGTTCCTATCTTCATTTGTACAAAAAATCTTTGTTACTTGTTATTTTTATAAATAAAAATAAAAAAATATTTATTATTTTAAAATTTATTAGATAAAAGTTTAAAGTACAATAATTTTAAAATAAGTAAAATTTACAAATAACATATAATAAATAAATACAAATTTAAATTATGAAAATTTGCAAACAATATACAAAGCTAAATATATATATATATATATTTGGATTAATAGCGGACATTAAATTATATTTTCCATCTCTAAATTTGATAAATGTCTGGAAATTATACTTTTTATCATTTTTTTAATTTCAAAATTTAATATTCATATCTATAATATAAATTGTTTTTTACATCAGACTTAATAAAATTGACATCATTAAATATAATCCATGCTTGTGCATTATTTGCAGAAGGTGCAACCCTTTAACACGGTCACGAATAAAAGCATTATATATACGTGGCACAATAAAGAAACATTATAACATGGTGTTACATAGTTGCTTTCATCATTTTTTGTCAACATCTACACATTCTTCTTTCTTTCCCTTTATTCAGAGAGTTTTTTTCTATTAAAACGAATTCCAATGATAAGAGATGGTATTATGTAATAGCTCATCCCAATAAAAAATTGTTCACCAATTGTTCGAGTTAAATAAAAAACTAAAAGCTATTCTTTCATTGCCTTTAGAAATAAAAAAAATAAAAATGGCTAACCCAAGGTCAAGGTCATTATCGAGCTTGAGGTTTGGGAAATAAAAAATGTGTCTGGCACTTTTGTAGACTCACTAGTGGCTCTTTTCATCCTAAATCTATCAGATCGGGACAATATAATAGAGTACGCTCGTAGGGGAGAGCTTGTTATTGATGTCCACTGGCTGACCTTTCCTGAAGTAATAAAAAAGATAAAATATTAGGGTATATTTAAAGTAACATCGTAGGATTTTATTTTAATATGATTTTATCTAACTTTTAGCTTGATTTTACAGATATGATTACCAATAACGACTTTGACTTTGATTTGTACCAACATGCCTTAAGGCTCAAAAAGAGTAAAAAAATTCAGCTTGAGGTCTTGTCTCATGAGGGAGACAAGGTCATCAACCCCTAATTGCATCGTTCTTCCACAACCTAGAAGACAAAGGCTAGAGCTAGTCAGGATCTCTCTTCAACATTAGTACTAGCACCTCTTCCTATTAAAAAACCAAGAGTGGAGGTTTTTTCTTCTACTTTAAAGAATCCCAAGGCTAAGGGATTAAGGTCTAACTCAAAAAAGATCTATACAAGCCTAGAGTACACTTCTATTGATGACCCTACCATTAATCTAACTTTGGCAAAGAGGTTTTGCAAAGTTGCGATCTTTTTTCTTAGTAATCATTAACTAACTTTAGCTCAATTTTCTTATTATTTTTTATTTCGCTAAGTTTAAGCTCGTTCTACACATTTTAATAAAAATTCTCACCTCAGCTCCTAGAAAACACTAGTCAAGCTTTTCACCATACCTACCTCACTATAACCCATCTGCTTAAGGTTGAGAAAGATATGGCTATCTTGGTTGAGGAGGATAAGAAAAACTTGAATTTTCTATACAATGTCAGGTTTAGGCTAAGTGCATCCCATAAAAAAGAGGCTGAGCTAAGAAAGAGGAATGATGAGTTAGCAATAAAGCTGAAGACCATCCTAGTTGATAAAGCCTCAGTTGAGTTAATGAAGGAGCAAGCTGAGTTTAAGTTCAATGATACTCAAGTAGAGATAGCAAGACTGAAGTCTAAGCTGGAGATCAAGGAAAAAAAAAGAAGAAGATCTGAAAAAGAAAGCCATGAAAAAGTTTAGGGCCTTTAACGAATGCCTTCAAATGAAAGTAGAGTTCTCCCAAAAAAATGTGTTGGGTACCTTCCAATTGGCCAAAGATGAGGTACAATTTAAATTCTCTACCCTCAATCTTGACTCTTTAATATTGATATCAACGATATCATATTAAAGTCTCTTCTAAATCAGCTTGAAAAAAAGGAAAAAAAGAAAAAAAAATAATGACAATGAGGCAATGAACACTGAGCTTGAGGTCACTTTAAGTGTCAAGAACGAGGTGGAGGAGGTTGATAAGGCTAAGGTTGTTGTTGCTGCTCTTGTTGATGGGAATGCTGCTTCTGCTGCATTTGTTACTAACACGTGATTTTTTTTTTATTTTTAGCTTTTTTTTTTTTAACTTTAGTAAATTTTTGCTAATACATGAGATCAATTTTTGTAATAACCTTGGATGGGAATGATCTACCTTACATCTTTTGTACTTGATAAAAAATGAAATAAAAATATTTGTTCAGTTCGGTCTAAGCTTTAGCTCAATTTTATTATAATTTTTCTTTATTTGAGCATGTTTAAGTACTATTAATTAAAGAAATTTGAACCCAATTAACTGAATTGAGGATTTACATAATCACTTGGATTAAATTAACTCGAGAATCTATCTAAGTTCTAGGTTGAATTTTGTTAGATCGATTAAGCGTAAGCTCATTAGGCATAATTTGATTTTTGCATTAAAGTACAATATACAAATTTGAGTTCGATTTAGATCAAGCTATTGAAAATAAACCTTTAAATTATCTACATTCCATGTCTTTGGGACAATATTGACATTCATATTATGTAACTTGTAAGTCACATAATGGACGATATCTTTAGCTATATATGATCCTTCCCAAGTCGGGGTTAATTTGCCACCTAGTTCATCTACTCTTAAGGTTTCAACTTTTCTAAATACCAAGTTGCCCTTCTCGATGTGTTTATGTTGGATCTTTTTATTATAATAACTAGTCACATTTTATTAATAAGCTACTATCTGTGTTAGGGCTATGTCTTTCTCTTTTTTATGAGGTCTAGGTTGACCCTAATTATTTTTTCATTTCTTTCTTCTAACCCTAATTCGACTCTTAAGCTCAAAAAATCGATCTCAACAAGTAACATAACCTTCATTTTGAATGCCAAATGGAATAGAATTTCACTTATTGGTACCTTAGTGGTTATCCTCAAGGCCCATAATACCCCTGGTAGCTTATTGGCCCACTTCCCTTTTACTATGTCAAATCTCTTCTTCAAAGCTTCTAACATTATTTTGTTAACAGTTTCAGCCTGTCTATTGGACTAAGAGTGGCAACCGATGTGAATCTGAAGTCGATGTGAAAATTTAAACATTATTCCTTAAACTTTGGGTTTTAAAATTGTTTGTTGTTATTCGTTATTATGGACTGAGGTAAGCCAAATATACAAATTATATTTTTCTACATAAATTTCTTGACTTAGGCCTCTGTATTCATGGTCAAAGTCTTAGCTTCAAACTATTTTGTGAAGTAATCTATCATTACTAAAACAAATATTTTAAGGCCTATGATTGGGATGAACGGTTCGAATATGTCCATTTTTCACTGTATGAAAGGCCATAGGCTAATGATAGAGGTGAGCTTAATCGAGAAAAAATGTTATACATGAGCAAACTTTTAACATTTATCACATCTCTTTACTAGCTTGGTTGTGTCTTTTCTGATAATGGCTAATAGTAGCCTTACCTAATTATTTTGTAGGCTAATAGTAGAGGTCTGATATGGGTTTCACATATTCTTTTATGGATTTCTTATAGAACATAGTTTGCTTCTTCCTCATCAACACATCTTAGATAAGACAAACTAAATGATCTTTTATATAATTTTCTCTTAATCATCGTGTACCAATGAGCTTTTTTCATCAATACGTTTACTTGGATTCTTTCTTCAGGTAGTACTCTCATGGTTAGGCACACCTTGATTGGCATCATCTAAGTTTTTTTTTTCTATGATCTATTCTAAAAGCTTATCTTTGGTGCTTTTGTGTGTTAGTTTTTTTACCAAGACTTAGTCTGGACTTTACGTTGTTAATCCTAAAGCCAACTTAAGTAAAGAATCCAACAGCAAATTTTTTGACTCGATATTTTTTTTACCTCGACCTTCTTGAAGCCAACCGTTAAGGCTAACACTTTATCCATATATTTATAAATTTTGTCTCTCCTAAGCTTTGAATTTTTCATTTTTTTAGCAGATCACTAGCTGAGAATTGCTATATATATATATTAAACGTTAAGCTCGATTGCCAAATTCAAGCCAACTATCGACACTTCACATTTTATCTCATTGTTAGATACCTTGAACTTAAATCTCAAAGCGATGGGTAATGCAATCCTTATTGGCTTATCAGAATAAGGTTGACTTTTTTAT